CATGCACGAAAACTTACACTTTCGCGCACTCCCAAACGCATATTTGATTCGGTTTATAATATTCTGTAGCCAGAAGATTTGTATACGCTGGCGTGGAAACCGTTTGTGCGCGCAACATCCGGCGTGGCCATAACACTGTCGCCTCCTTTGCAGAGGATGTTTTTTTGTGATTTTCCATGTATCTGTCCAATTAACAAACAGCATAATTTGCGCAAAAAAAGATTTCAGAATACGAACTAAAAAGAATTGAAAATACGAAATGCATATTACGAGTATCTAGTTAGGTAAATTAGTGTTTATTGCTTGATAATTATGAAGTAGCTGACTTCTTAACAGTAGAAAATTAGTACACCGACAACCATAATTTACGTTTTTCGGTAACTACGTATTTACTGTGAGTCTGTGATTACTGTACATAACTGCGGTCAGTTTTAAACTCATGAGTGTTTGGAAAAATTATCGGAAATATGAAATTTCTGTACGCTATTATAGTATTATCAAAGGCATTCAAAGTGGACCTATTTAATATGAGGCAGCATTGATGCCTAACAATAAAATTTGTTGCATGGATAACATTTATAATAAGGATACAATTTAAATATACAATTTGCTAGAAGATGGGATGGATGCTGTTGCCAGCAGTGCAACTGAAGGCACCGGGCAGCATTTAGATCAGAATCACCAGATGTATAGAACAATATTATGATACTGTATTGTGCACAATTTACAGTGAACTGCACATATATTGGCTGTAAACATATAGTTCGGACAGTACAAATTTAATACGAATTAAAATGTCGCATTAATTGTAAGAATAAGGCATATTCTAGAATTTGGTTGTTAATTCGCTCAGAAATAGCCTATAAAAGATTTTCCATAAATCACGTAAGCAAGGTAAGTAATTTACTGTACTTAGTTAATTTCTTTCGTGCAGTTTGCGCGGGGTTTACTAGTCAGAAAACAATACTAGAAGAGCACGTGTCACTTCGCTGCAGAACTTACATGGGTTACTGTTAACGGTAAGTAACGGTTATTTTGCCACTTTCTTAAAAGGCGTTTCCTAGCCTCCTGTGCTTGTACATCCAGCCACTGCTCCAGTCAATATCGCGCGATGCGCTGTTACATATTTCAGAGTTCATGCAGTTTTTGAATTATTGTTTTTTTTATGGACAAGACCAGGGAGAGACCAGGGCTTGTGTGTTGTAAAATTTTATTATTAAAAATTTTGTTGTGTAAACTTTTATTGACGACAACCATTAATGCATTAAAGGTGCAAAACTTTAAAAAAAACTTCAGTTTAAATCTGGCCGGAAGTGCGCTTTCGGTCGATTTGGCGTCAAGTTGCGCACACTAGTCCCAGTCCCAAATGGTCACAGTCCCGATCGCTCCCAGGCCCAGTCCGGCACAGTCACAGACGGTCACAGTCACAGAAGGTCCCAGTCACATAAACTCCCACTCCCACCCAGTCCCACCCAGTCACAGTCACAGTCTTTAGCAATACCCAGGGCAAAGTCGCTCGGACTGGTCAAAACGCATACGGTCTGAGTGTAGAGCGTGTGTAAGTGTATCTGAATCTGAATGTGAGTGGAAGAGCAGTCCACATGTACTCCGTTTCCCTATTGTTATTGTATGCGATGGCGCACGTTTTGTTTCGCAAGTCTTTTTCAAGCAGCAGACCAACGACGTCTTTCTGTGCCAGACGGCAGCGGCATTTGGAATGCAAACCTTGGCTGCTCTGCAGCGATTGAGAGCCGCCGCAATCCAGTTAATATCTGCCAACAGATTCCTTAGACGACTCGCATTATACCGCCACCGTAACTCCGTTTCCTCCTTTCTTCCGCGGAGCCAATGACGCGCGATCAATGTACTCGGCAGTTCACTAAAAATTGTCGTCCATTTTCCATGAACTCCTATTCCTACCTTTACCGGATAAACGGTTAGCCAAAAAAACGAAACCTTTGTGAAATCTTACTTACCAACTTTTCGCAATCTTAATTCACCGTTTCATCCGCGTAGGGGAAGGCTGGACGAGCCACCACGATATCAACCCTACCTTAGTGATCGATCAAGTTACCCCAGTTGACTGCAGTTTGAACCATGGTCTACATCTGAACTGCAATGACAAGGTCACTGCCCAAGAGATCCGCCAATTGGCCGCTTCGCTATCGCTGCCACCGCCGCGGGCGGTTTTTGTAAACTTGACCGATGGCCCACTGGTGACCTTGGACAACCTATCACCCGTCCGCCAACACACTATCATCTTGAACCTATACTTTTGCGCATCGGCTCGCACCACGGGCAAATTGGTCGCGCTAGGCTTCCCGAACCTGTTGAATTTCGAACTGCACCATTGTCGCGCTATGGTTGTAAAGAAAACCGATTTCTGGTCATCCATCAAACTCCGCATGATCCTTTTCGCTAATACAACTCTGCGCTCACTGGAGGAGAACACCTTCGCGGACTTGCCAGCTTTACGTCTCGTCTCCTTGGAAAAGGGCTTCAGCGAAATGGAAGTGTTTAGCAAAGATATCAGAAATTATCTACAAAAGCTACATTGCGGATGTGAATACGAGTGGTTCCGGCAGTGTTGGAGCAGAAATCAGCTCCTGCGCAGTGCCGACCGGAAGCAGATATTCAACATTCCGACCAACTCATGGCACAACGATAACGTCACGAAAAGAGATATGTATTTACCAATTGATTGTGCAGCGAATCCGTTTCCTGATGGTTCAGAGTTCATTGACTTCGCACAGGACGCTTTTTCCATTAACGAGAAATCGTGTAAGCATTTTTTTGCTCTTGAGAACTACGTTGTTAGTGAGGAGACATTAGGATATTATTCAACTTAAAAATTTTCGAAAGGCAGACCTTCGCTCTAAATATTTCGCTGGGCAGATTTGGTTTTACAGACGCAGAAAATGGGTGCCCGAGCGAAATGGACGATAAGCCATTTCCGGTATTCTCCACTGAACCAGCGACTGCCGTTGAATGTGGTTATCAGCAGATGGATTGGCGGTGCATCTCCTTGGTTACGTCTAAACAAATCGAGTGTCCGGAAGCTAACTCCACTGGCAAGCTTTTCGACGCATCCTACTGCCTCTCCGAACTGCGCAGTCAGTCGGTGGCTCTCGCCCGATTCCCGCCGCGTCCTCTGAGACTGTTCTCTCGCCCGATTCCCGCCGCGTCCTCTGAGACTGTTCTGGATGGACAACATCACGGCTGTTTCGAGCGATTTGGGTTTCGAGCGCGCGCGTAATCAGCTTGATTTAGAAAGGATTGTAAATTGTCATCCACTCCGTAGTCGCTATTCCAGATAAAATAAAAGTCCGTACGCTCTTATAGAATTGTAATAAAGGCTGCGTACGTAACAGCCGCCTTGGGGATGCGATGCTTTCGAATTTCGATAATCCCAAGGCAGAGTGCAGACTACGAGTCTACGTCGTGTTTTTCCAATTTTGAATTTCTTCCCATTTTCTAATTCCTGGCTGCTTGCTTCTTCGTTCTAATTTTAAATAAGACTAAGATATCCGGATCGAAATCTGTACAATTTATCGAAGATGAATACGATGAATGTGGATGTGGTGTATCATCCGTGTGTGACTGTGCTGGAGGATTTCCCTTTACGAAGCACGTGTAACGGTGAGGAGATGGCGGAGGACGCGCCAGTAGGTGTCGCGCGTGCGCCAGTACGCGTACATGTCCGTGGCCACCCGGCGCATCTCCGCCGGCGGCTCCGGCAGCGCGGCCTCCATGGCCGTCCGCATGGCGGTCAGAGTCGCGACAATGTCCTGGCCGCAGTCCAGACGCAGGAAGGGCACGGCCACCCGCAGCGGCGGCGCCGGGTCGCGGCTCTGGTAGGGCTCATCGGTCAAGGGGGTGAAGTCGGAGTGCCAGGAGGGCCGGCAGTGGTGGAAGGCTTGGACGGCGTCGTTCTGGACGTAATCAACCAGGATCAGCTGGCCGCTGCACATGTCCATCAGCGGTGACAGGTGGTGCAGGGGAAAGTAGAGCGGCGCATGGGCACTGGCCTTCCATTCACTGACCACCGCCCAGACGGTGGGCAGGTCGCCGGTTACGACGCAGCGGTGGCAGATGATACGCTGCAGTGCCGCGGCCGGTGCCGGTCGGAGCATTCTGACCAGCTGCCGAATGAGGGTCACGTCGCTGCTGCCCACACGCAGGCTGCGCTCGGCCAGACGGTGCTCGCCGGGCCGCCACCGGCTCAGCACCAGCGTCCGCACGTCACGGCTCAGCCCGTACAACGTTCTATGGGCACACCGGGCAACCTATCAGAAACTCTTACTGAATCAAACTGCTATATTTCTTATTAAGGTATACAGATAGTATACATAAGTGGGTATTGCTGAAACAATTATTGGTAGGCGGCCTACCAATAATGATTCTCTAGACCGAGTGATTTTATTATTAACAACAACAAACGTGATTACTATTAGTAGTAGTATACACTTTTACTGGAACAATTTCCGGTAGGCGGCCTACCTTTCCTTTACTTATTACATAGACCGGTTGACGGCGTTGAGTTAAACAGTTTCATTTGTCGAGGAGGCCCGGAGATTCGATAAAAAAATCAGGTGTAATTTCATTATATAAAATCTACAAAGTACTGGTAGGCGGCCTACCAGTAACGCTGGATCTGTGACAACCACCAGCTCTGTCGCCCTGGCTCGGGATCACGGGATCATACAACACATGTATGTCCGTTTCGCACTTTGATGAATATGATTGGATGAAGATGTTTGGGAAGAGATGCAGAAGTTCCGTTCAGCTGTCTGCCGTATGTTCGCAGAGAACGAAATGGATTGTGTATTCATGGAAACCGCTACGCGTCTTAAGTCGCATCCGCATATGCAGATTGAATGCATTCCGCTGGATAAGGACAACGGCAGCTTGGCTCCAATGTATTTCAAAAAGGCTATTCTCGAAGCGGAAGGAGAATGGACACAGAATAAGAAGCTGGTCGATCGGAACCGGATGCACCGACCGGTCTAATCCGGCATCGTGAACGTGATGGAACGCCGCACTGCGCTCGGGAAGAATGTAAATCGGGATGGATCCCGTGGCGGTGAACTGAACATGTGTGTTGCTGCCAACAGGAGTGCCACTGGATGCAGACGATGTCCCGGTGCGTTTGTTGCAGTACTTGCAGAAAAACAATGCCGCAAACAATCCTAACAGGAGTGCTATGGCCATGACCAGCAAAGTTATATCTACCACGTTTACTGATGTCATGTTATATGTTAATTACAACCGTAGCAAGACAGTCGAGGTGTCCTTCGTCGCTTAGCTTGAAAATTAAAATACCAATGGAACTATACACTGTATACGTCGTAGAAGTCGTTACACAGTTTTCATTATTTACCGATATGACCATAATTATATAAAGCATCTTCAAGTATTTTAGCCAGTACGTTGAACTAATTTTGATAAGATATTTTTGTTCCAGAATTCCAGATTAGCTGCTGAACGCCTGAGCGAAATGATTCAGTCATTTTACACCGCTGAATTAAGTCGAGCTAGACGGGTTTTCCCCGTGAGTCACTAACCACCTCGTCATCATTCACTGTTTAAATCCTCAAATAATTTACTTCTTTCTTTACACACTAATTTAATCTAAATTGGAAACATACAGATACAGGTAGAGCGCACTTGTCAGAATACGCAAGAGATGTTCACATTTAAAAATATCTTCACCGTAATAATATCGCATTGGAAGTCAAAGCGTTTTATATAATTAAATTACACCTCATTTTTTATCGAATCTCCGGGCCTCCTCGACAGATGAAACTGCCGTCAACTGGTCTATGTAATAAGTAAAGAAAAGGTTGGCCGCCTACCGGAAATTGTTCCAGTAAAAGTGTACTACTACTAATAGTAATCACGTTTGTGGTTGTTAATAATAAAATCACTCGGTCTAGAGAATCATTATTGGTAGGCCGCCTACCAATAATTGTTTCAGCAATACCCACTTATGTATACTATCTGTATACCTTAATAAGAAATATAGCAGTTTGATTCAGTAAGAGTTTCTGATAGGTTGCCCGGTGTGCCCATAGAACGTTTTAATAATTTAAAGGATGAACTGCATCAACACTGAGCGCTACCGTAGGAAATGTACGGCATCTGTATATATATATATATATATATATATATCAGTCGGAACGATGAATTTGTGCTGTATTGTAAATAATAATGGCTTTTTTGTACATGTAGAACTACTTGTTACAGATGCTGTTTACTGCATTGCAGACACGAATCATGCACACTTTATAGTCGGCGTTGGCACAATTGGGACCGGAGACTCGTTTTTTCACGGCCATCAGTCATTTGAACTGATTTCAGCGGCAAATGCATGCAGTATAGTGCTCATCTTGTGTTCGACAGATCCTCCGACATAAGTGATCCTGTTCCGGGTTGAAGTGTGTTTGGGGCAAATTCGCAGATGATTTTGTGTCTCCTCTGAGTATAAGCGATTTTTATTTTCACTTTGACATTGGTGAAAGATTTGGCGGTTGCATGATGATGTGGAGTGACAACGGAGTACTGCGTACGATTTTATATTATTTGGAAGAAAAAAATGTGGTAAAATTGAAATTAATCTTCCGTCTATGTACTGGCGGCATTCTATTATGTGATACTGAATTTACGATATTTTTTTCGCGATCAATAAAGGTCTCATAACGTCTGCATACACTTTTTCATCACCTTACAAAATCAGGGTTTGATTTCACGCAATACAAGGTTTGCTTGAATTAAAGTGTGCACTGTCCATTAATAATTAAAATGTTCATCAAGTAAAAGCAATAAAGGCGCTTAATCAAAGCAGGAAAAATTAACTAATGAATCGCGCTTGGCCCTTCGCGCCTTTACTCATTCTACGCATAGAAAACCCCTGATGGGGCTGTCCGAATTCACATAATATCACTTCCGGCCTGTACAAACTGGAACCGATAATACCTAACCGGAGCTGGATAATCCTGCCGTTCCGGTAGCCAACTAATGGAAAGCGCTTTTGGATTGGACACGGACATCGGATGCTCGCTGTATTTGCGCTTTCACCGGCAATTCAATGCTGGCCTCCATCCCACCGATGTATTAGCCGCTAATGTGACCATGTAAGAACTCCGTGGTAGCAGTTTATGTACAGTGAAAGAATTTAATCCCGGAGACAAGAATACTGGTGCACTGTCGACAACTAATTCCTCTCGCCGGTATGAATCTCGATATACGTCTGTATATCACATGCATAAATTTACTGTTAATACACTTTGCTGATAATACTTGTGGTAGGCGGCCTACCACAAAATTAATAAGACACTGCATGCGCTCTGTCATTATGATTACGGTCATGAAACGTATAGTCATTATGTACGGACTATACATCGCCAGTTCTTAGACGGTTGTCGTTGATTATTCTACTGACGTCCTTTAGTGAGCCAACGGTATCTGTTCGTGCAGTGAATACTTATCATCGATTTACATTGTTTAATTGGCAGAATTGTCTGGTGTTCTCTGCAATTTGAGTTACTATTTTATTTTGGCGTCAATGGTCAATATAGTATTCACGATTTCATGTACTCGTATACGACGGACGATACGTAATCTGGCGGACCCGACTCTGTTCATTTACTAATAATTAGAATATTTGTTTTATTTGTAAAATTAAAATTTGCTACATCCTGCAATTTTTTTAGCAGGCCAGCTCCCAATAATGATCGGTGATTTGATGAGAATACATGTGTTGCACGTATCCAATAACAGTAAACCGTAAACAGTTATAACACCAAGATTAAACCATAATCAGTTATAATACCTTAGAACCTAAGAAACTACGAAAAAAATATTGTAATGGCAATGGCCGTCGATATGCAGCCGATCATTGATAGTTGGGCAATGAATAAATCCAGTAGGCCGCCTACCGGAAACGATAAAAATATTCTGATTTGGGATCAATTTTTGTTGCATTATATATACAATATTACAAGTTATATGACAACTTTATTATACATCACAGAATGGAAATGGTAGGCGGCCAACCTAAAAAGGAAATGAAGAATGGAAATGGTAGGCGGCCAACCTAAAAAGGAAATGAATGCATTTATTCGGCATTCAAATTCAGTTGCACCCATTCCAATTCAGTTGCGCCCATTCCCACACAGCTACTCAATTCCAACTCAATTTCAGTATTTCACTGAAACGCGAAATACTACAATTGAGCCAGGGTAAGAAACCACTATTCCTCCAATTCAGTTGCGCCCATTCCCACACAGCTACTCAATTCCAACTCAGTTTCAGTATTTCACTGAAACGCGAAATACTACAATTGAGCCAGGGTAAGAAACCACTATTCCTCCAATTCAGTTGCGCCCATTCCCACACAGCTACTCAATTCCAACTCAGTTTCAGTATTTCACTGAAACGCGAAATACTACAATTGAGCCAGGGTAAGAAACCACTATTCCTCCAATTCAGTTGCGCCCATTCCCACACAGCTACTCAATTCCAACTCAATTTCAGTATTTCACTGAAACGCGAAATACTACAATTGAGCCAGGGTAAGAAACCACTATTCCTCCAATTCAGTTGCGCCCATTCCCACACAGCTACTCAATTCCAACTCAATTTCAGTATTTCACTGAAACGCGAAATACTACAATTGAGCCAGGGTAAGAAACCACTATTCCTCCAATTCAGTTGCGCCCATTCCCACACAGCTACTCAATTCCAACTCAGTTTCAGTATTTCACTGAAACGCGAAATACTACAATTGAGCCAGGGTAAGAAACCACTATTCCTCCAATTCAGTTGCGCCCATTCCCACACAGCTACTCAATTCCAACTCAATTTCAGTATTTCACTGAAACGCGAAATACTACAATTGAGCCAGGGTAAGAAACCACTATTCCTCCAATTCAGTTGCGCCCATTCCCACACAGCTACTCAATTCCAACTCAGTTTCAGTATTTCACTGAAACGCGAAATACTACAATTGAGCCAGGGTAAGAAACCACTATTCCTCCAATTCAGTTGCGCCCATTCCCACACAGCTACTCAATTCCAACTCAGTTTCAGTATTTCACTGAAACGCGAAATACTACAATTGAGCCAGGGTAAGAAACCACTATTCCTCCAATTCAGTTGCGCCCATTCCCACACAGCTACTCAATTCCAACTCAATTTCAGTATTTCACTGAAACGCGAAATACTACAATTGAGCCAGGGTAAGAAACCACTATTCCTCCAATTCAGTTGCGCCCATTCCCACACAGCTACTCAATTCCAACTCAATTTCAGTATTTCACTGAAACGCGAAATACTACAATTGGAGCCAGGGTAAGAAACCACTATTCCTCCAATTCAGTTGCGCCCATTCCCACACAGCTACTCAATTCCAACTCAATTTCAGTATTTCACTGAAACGCGAAATACTACAATTGAGCCAGGGTAAGAAACCACTATTCCTCCAATTCAGTTGCGCCCATTCCCACACAGCTACTCAATTCCAACTCAATTTCAGTATTTCACTGAAACGCGAAATACTACAATTGAGCCAGGGTAAGAAACCACTATTCCTCCAATTCAGTTGCGCCCATTCCCACACAGCTACTCAATTCCAACTCAATTTCAGTATTTCACTGAAACGCGAAATACTACAATTGAGCCAGGGTAAGAAACCACTATTCCTCCAATTCAGTTGCGCCCATTCCCACACAGCTACTCAATTCCAACTCAGTTTCAGTATTTCACTGAAACGCGAAATACTACAATTGAGCCAGGGTAAGAAACCACTATTCCTCCAATTCAGTTGCGCCCATTCCCACACAGCTACTCAATTCCAACTCAATTTCAGTATTTCACTGAAACGCGAAATACTACAATTGAGCCAGGGTAAGAAACCACTATTCCTCCAATTCAGTTGCGCCCATTCCCACACAGCTACTAATTCCAACTCAATTTCAGTATTTCACTGAAACGCGAAATACTACAATTGAGCCAGGGTAAGAAACCACTATTCCTCCAATTCAGTTGCGCCCATTCCCACACAGCTACTAATTCCAACTCAATTTCAGTATTTCACTGAAACGCGAAATACTACAATTGAGCCAGGTAAGAAACCACTATTCCTCCAATTCAGTTGCGCCCATTCCAACACAGCTACTCAATTCCAACTCAATTTCAGTATTTCACTGAAACGCGAAATACTACAATTGAGCCAGGGTAAGAAACCACTATTCCTCCAATTCAGTTGCGCCCATTCCCACACAGCTACTCAATTCCAACTCAATTTCAGTATTTCACTGAAACGCGAAATACTACAATTGAGCCA